TGTGTGTGTGTGTGTGTGTGTGTGTGTGTTCCCTCACAGCTCTGGTCGTGTCCCTCTCGGTGTGCAGCTGCCATGAACGCCTCGGACAGTGATGACGACATCTACAACGAGAGGACGGCGTTGGTTCCGTCAGAGAACCCGGTGCTGCCATCCTACCGGCCCGACTCTGACACCAGCCTCCCGGGCGACTCGCCAACCAAACGGGTAAACGTCTGCTCTCTGTTGTCCGTGTCTCGCCACGTCTGACGTGTCTGACTCTGACCGCCGCCCTCTGTTGGTGCAGCCGGTGGCGAGCAGGAGGGCGGGTCCGGCTGCCGTGGACGGCGCCGGCGGCGGCTCGGATCAGGAGGTGGACGCCGACGACGAGGAGCTGACTCTGAAGTACGGCGCCAAACACGTCATCATGCTGTTCATCCCCGTCACACTGTGCATGGCCGTGGTGGTGGCCACCATCAAGTCGGTCAGCTTCTACACGGAGAAGACGGACCAGCAGCTGTAGGTCCTCAGGTCAGCCGCCGCACGTCCTGGTCCGCCGCCCGCCGCTGACTTCCTGTTTGTCCCCGCAGGATCTACACGCCGTTCACCGAGAACACGGCGTCCGTCGGCCGCCGGCTGCTCAACTCCGTCCTCAACACCATCATCATGATCAGCGTCATCGTGGTCATGACCATCTTCCTGGTCGTCCTCTACAAGTACCGCTGCTACAAGGTAAGCCCCGCCTCCTCCATCCACACGCACCTGCACTCAGGTGACCTGCTGCTCCCCAACGAGGCTGAAAGACCGGCTGAGGACCGAAGGCCGAGGTCCAGCAGTTCGTTACCCTCTGCAGCCAAAAACCTGCTGACAGGTCAAAAAAATCACCAAAATGGCAGAATTATCGGCCAGAACCTGAAACACAGGAAGAGTTGTTAATGTTTGTCTTTCCAACGGTCCGTGAACGCACCATCTGTGGTTCTGGACAGCCAACCAAATCCCAGCTTACAATCCTGATATTTCATCCAAACCGCTTTATTCCACGTGTTTCATTTAAACATTTGCAAAAAATAAATTATGTTCAAGAACAGAAGCTCTTCCCTCCGAGCTCCGACTGATCGACTCGTGTTCAGGTGACCTGCAGACGGGGTTTCCACGGAAACGTGAGAACTATAAATAGTTCAAGTTTGTTGGACAAAAGTTTCTGTTTCGTTTTGTAAAATCAACAATCAAACGTAATCACACGAGTCAGCTTCCCGACTCGGACACAGTCAGAGCCAGAACTCAGAGACGTTCCTCGGCTCAGTTCTAGAACTCATCAGAGCTGTCGGCAGGTCCAGACGGCTGACGGACGTGTCTGCCGAGTGAAGCTCACACATTCTGGATGTTTGGATGAATTCATGTCAATGTAACGTGTGGAGTTGAGACAGTTTGCTGCAGGTAGGGGGCGCTGTGTGCTGAGCTGCTGTGTTTGTGCTGCCCAGTTCATCCACGGCTGGCTCATCCTGTCCTCCCTCATGCTGCTCTTCTGGTTCAGCTTCATGTACCTGGGGTGAGTCCTGCTCCACACACTGTCCAGGTGGAAGAGTTCTGAGCGCGCTCAGTTCAGCCGCCTCACGCTGTTCCTCTGTCTCCCAGCGAGGTGTTCAAGACCTACAACCTGGCGGTGGACTACCCGACGGTGGGTGTGATCATCTGGAACTTCGGGGCGGTGGGGATGATCTGCATCCACTGGAAGGGCCCCCTGCAGCTGCAGCAGGCCTACCTGATCCTCATCAGCGCCCTCATGGCCCTCGTCTTCATCAAGTACCTGCCCGAGTGGTCGGCCTGGGTCATCCTGGGAGCCATCTCCGTCTACGGTTGGTTGATGCTATGCTAACTGTGTGCTAACGGGCACGACAATGCACGTCATGACGTAAACATGGCGTAAACGTGAAGCGCTGTTGGCTGCTCAGGTGTTAACAATCCTCTTCATTTACAGAAAACGTTTTAAAATCCAAGAAGCAAAGTCCTTCACAGCAACCGTAAAATAAAAGTCAAGAAAACATCAGGATTTATTAGCTTTTAGCGCACTAATATTGGCCTACAACTTTGAAATCCTAGCTTTAGCTTGCTAGCTTAAGCTTGCTTACCTTAGCTCACTAACTTTAGGTAACTAACATTGGCTTGCTAACTTTAGCTCACTCACTTTAACTCGCTAACTTTGTCTCATTAACTTTGGTTCACTGACTTGGGTTGTTAACTTCAGCTCCATAACGTTGGTTTGCTAACATTGGCTCGTTAACTTTGGCTCACTCACTTTAGCCTGCTAACTTTGGCTTGCTAACTCCAGCCTGTGAACTTTAACTTGCTAACTTTAGGTCAGTAACTTTGACTTATGAACACTGGCTCACTAGCTTTACCTCACTAACTTTGATTTGCTAACTCAAGCTAACTATAGTTAACCAACTTTGGCATGTTAACTTTGTCTCACTAACACTGACTCAGTACGTTTAGCTTGCTAACTTTAGCTTGCTAACTGCTCTGTGAGTTGAGCTCTTTAACTTGGACTTGCTAACGTCTGTTTACTAACCTGCGAACTTTCGCTTGCTAACTTGGGCTCACTCACTTTAGACGCTAACTTCAGCTTTGTAGAAATGGAGATGTTTAGATGTGTACAAACCAGAGAGTCCGAGGTTTCCCTTCATGCTTTGCTGCTGTTTGTGTGTGCAGACCTGGTGGCCGTGCTGAGTCCTAAAGGTCCTCTCAGGATGTTGGTGGAGACGGCTCAGGAGCGTAACGAGCCCATCTTCCCAGCCCTCATCTACTCCTGTGAGTCCGTCCACAAGTTCACCCACATCGGTTCTGGGGAGAACCCCAAACGTGCAGTTGCTGCTCTTCATTTTTGATAGTACGGTTTCATCACATCAGTCAACAATGAATGATGCTGCTGGAGCCCTTTAAAGTTTGATTTAATGATTAATGAACAGAACTCTGAGCAGCTTCTGTCTCCTGGTCCTTCACTGAGGTCCATGTTCCTCTGCAGCATAAAGTTCTGCAGCTCTGTGGAACCAGAACCACATGAAGGAGGAGACAGAACTCAGAATCCATCAGTTAGAATAACAGAAATCAGTTTTTCAATTTCTTTAATTGTGTATTTTACGAAAGTGTAAGAAACTGGAATCCACACGTCCAACGTGATTCTAAGTGCATGAAACATGTTGGACGTGTGGATCCGTCCGGGTCCTCAGGTTTCATTCAGTTCAGTCCAGTTTTGTTTGTATAGCGCAGTTCACAACAGACGTGATCTCACAGTCTGAACATGGTCACGTACACACCTTAGAATTCAAACAGAACCCAACAATCCAGAGCAGCCTCTGGACTTCCTCTGAGCAGGCGGTCGGCAACGATGGGAAGGAACCAAAACCCCCCAGTGGAGGAAAAAACCTCCGGGATCAGATGCAGCACTGAGATCCAGCAGAACCAGCACAGAGACTAGTCCACTGTGTGAAGCTATCAGTAGATCTTGGTGACCTTCACCAGCGTGTCTCTGCACTATGATGCTTCTGAATCCTGACTGAAGCCCTCCAGAGCAGATGAAAACATACCTGGCAGCAGCAGCTTGTTGAAGGTGCCTCCAGCATTGGAGACGCTGAGCGAGCTCCAGTCACACTTCCCTCTGCTGCTGCCACATGACAGTCGCTCACAGCGGAGTCAGTCGTGGCCTCGTGTTTGCAGATTATTTTATTGTTTGTAGATGTTGAATCGTGAACAAGCTCCAGACGCTAACAGGTTTCACTGTGTCCAGCCGCCATGATGTGGACGGTGGGGATGGCGAGCCCGGCGGACGCTCAGCGCTCAGAAACAGGTGCGGCATCGCTCCGACGTTCAGGTGTTTCTTGCTGCTGCAGTCCGCCGCCGTGACGCTGCCGTCGATTGTGTTTCAGATGAGGAGGCGGAGCAGAGCGGCGGGGGGGCGGAGCCTCCGAGCCGACAGTCCAGGTCGCTCCCGGAGGACGAGCTGGAGGAGGACCGTGAGTCTGCCGCCGTCAGCTGACCGCTGTGAGGCGGCGGCGCGTGGTTCTGAGTGTTTTCTGTGTCTGCAGGCGGCGTGAAGCTGGGCCTCGGAGACTTCATCTTCTACAGCGTCCTCGTCGGAAAGGCTGCAGCGACCGGCGGAGACTGGAACACCACGCTGGCCTGCTTCGTCGCCATTCTGATCGTAAGTTCTGGTTTCGTGTGACGGGTCGGGGACACGTCAGGGCTGTTTCCACTTTAACTCAAAGACACCAGAACAAACACTGGATCTGTGTAGGAACCAGAACAACAGGTCTGTTCTGTCAGAATATCTGCACCAGCTTTTTTCTAGAACAGAGCTTTTAGTGTTTGGGGAGCTGATCAGTTTCACCGTCTGTCCGACTCCATCCTCCCACTGAACAAGAACAACAGACCAGACAGAGACAGAACTGGAACCAGACCTTCAGCTGGTGTCTTCACCAAACTGTTAAAGTCAGTCCTGAGAGTGGAGCGGGTCGGATCAACAGAACGTCCTGGCGTTTACCTGATGTCTGTTTAACCAGGATGATGCTTTAAACGAGACCCTGACCCAGAATGTTCTGTCTGGTGAGCAGCACCAGCGAGTTCTGACCGTCCGGCAGCGTCTCCGGTCACGTTCCTTCTTACAGCGATCCTTCTGCATGTGTTTACTTTTTAAAAACTGAGCCAGCAGTCAGAAAGTTCTGATTAGAATTCAGTTAAAGTACCGGACCCATAAGCAGCACTGGTACCTGGAGCAGTACGATTCCTGTCCATACCTGTATCTGTGTCTCCCCC